CACTGCGTCAAATGTAATCGTGGATTCAATGGTTGCTTTATGTCATTGAAATAAGTTTTGAGACTTAGATCTCTCAACAGGCTAATTTGGTCAATACAAGATTTCAATGACAAGGCAAACACAAAATCGTTTTAGCTAAAATCTAGGGCAAAGCAAGTGTATCCGTAAAGCACAGTTTATACACAAAGGCAACACAAAGCTTAACCAACCAAGATAGAAACCATCACACAAGGTATTTTATTCATACATAATCACAGTACATTCAAAAGATTGTATGCAGCTTAACAAACCTGCCTTTAATCTGAATTTGATCAAAGAAGAATGAAAAAGCCTGCCTCACATTTTCAAGAAGACTGTTGCAGATTGTATCCTGCATACGTTTGATGAACCTCTTAAAGTATGCGCAAAAAGATGAAACATTACAAGAAAACGATAACGCAATGGTTGCTTAAAAAACTAGCTATTGTAAGCCAACACAACTTTGACACAAATTGCTGATGGATTTTGTGTGAGCTTTTATGACTCATTATCTCGGTACATTAAACATTCCTCTTCAGACTTTGACAACCTACCTATTGTAATCCGATCAAACCTGTCAGCTACCAGACTAATACAGCGTAATTATGCAGTCATATATTTTTTAAGTCTGCGGATCCCCAGTGGCCCGTAGCCTCCAGCCTCCAACAGCTCCGCAGATGGCCTCCACGCAGAATCTGTCAGCGGCCGGCAAAAAACCTGACCCCAGTCAAAAGCTCTTAACCCATTTCTACACATCACCTCCTATCAAGCTTGACCAATCAATAGTTGCTATCCCAGAGGAGCCAGACCATGAACGCATTGGTGACCGCTGCTTCTTTTGTGATTGTAGATAAAGATTATATGTAGCCAGCTGCCTTGTGTGCGTCTGCGTTTCCCTACTAACAAAGTTTTTTCCTCCAATTATAGGACTTGTTTGCAAACAGCGCAGCGGGATGTTGGTGATAGCCCCTTTTGACAAAGCAGGAACCAGGTGGCCTTATTTTTGTGGTTGTATAAGGAAGGAAGAAGGCAATGGAGAGTGGAAGGGGGTCACCTACGTAGAAACAGGAGCGCCCCTGTGGTGAAGAGATAAAAAGGACGGTCACTCATCCAGAACTGTCCCGGATATGGCCAACCCTGACTCCAACTCTAAGGAGGTGTGAGTGAATGGGCATTTAGTTAAGGAGATTTCGAAATGGGACGCTACACTTGCTTTGACAAAGCCTGGTCGCGATTTACACTCGGAGAAACGACAACAATGCCTCGCTTGTCCAGTGGTTGAATGGTTAAATATACAAGCAGCGCGATTTAACAGTGTAACTCCAGTCATGCTTGTGTACTGTGCGTTATCTGCGACAAGATACAAAGGTTGAGTGGGGCTTTTGAGAAGACGCCAGATTTAGTGCTGTCCTGTCTGGGATTGTGTGTCTGACCCGGCCTGTGATCGCAAACAGAAGCTAAAAAATAAAAAACAATCTCAACCTGTTGGACTGTCGTGCAAAGTCAAGTTTGTGAAGTCCTGTGCCGTTTGGTTCCATACTGATTTTAGAAGGAGGAGCAAGCGACAGTGGGCCCCCGACAAGCAGCTGAGCCGGAGCCCAAGACACGACAGCAAAACCACACTACGGTAATTACATATCAAAGTCCTTCACAGTCAATAGTCCTGAATGGAATATGAAGAGAATTACTTCAACGTGACAGGGAAGAAGTAACAGCATAGAGGGCTAGAGTCAGCACTGGCCCAATATACTGTAGTCTATGGACGATTTGAGAATTCGTTTAGTGGCAAAAAACCTTTAGTTTTAGTGATATTTTGTCACAGTAGAAGCAATACTTTATCCTTGACTTGAATTTAGACTCATTTAATCAATTTTATGAGTTTTATTTAATCATAATTCGCACATTTGATGTCACAATAATAAGATGAGAAATATGGATAGAAATTGAGATATTAAATAGCATAAGCAAGTTCTTGTTTATGGTTTATTGATAGGATCTCCATCATGGTGCTATTTTCGGGGTCCCATGTAGAAAATTTAGTTTTGAACAAGCTCAAGATGAACGAAAAGAGGCAGATTTAGATTTAGTTCGTTGGCACATACTTTCTCTAATAAGTTTCCAAAGTTTTCAAAATAGCTTTATGGTAGAGTTGAGACTTTTGACTAGCCTGTAGGAACATCATCAACTGGTCATTTGATGGAAGAAATTTAAGGTTTTTCACCAGCTAAAAGTGAATAATTGCAGTTGATTTCGGCAAATGTTTTCCTCAAAATACAAAATGACTTAATCACTTTTGCTTCAAGATCAGACAAGCAGTGTTTTTTGTGTACTCTCTCTCCCAAACTTTCCTCCCAGACGCTAAACTGTGTGTGGGTCGTAATCTCGTTCTATTAACCCCATTATTCATTAATGCATGCGTTCGAGATCATTAATTTTCTCTTTCTCACCACTATCAGATAGCTCCCACCCACTGCACCAACGTGCTCCAGTCTAAGCAGGTGCCAACAGAAAATAAAGTCATAAATTTAGAACGTCTGCATGAGGCCTTGGTTCGATGGCTTTTATGCCCTGTGTGTGTGTGTGTGTGTGTGCGTGTGTGTGTGTCACTGCACGCATGACCTCACCTCGAAAATGTGCTCCTCAAAAGTGTTTGTGTATGGGACGAATAAAAACGACCCGAGTCCTTGAACCAGAACACGAACGTTGTTAATTGTTTAAAATTGTGTGGTCGAAAAAAAAATGACTTGGAAATTCATTTGCTATAGAACTAAGAAACAGCAGCGACAACCTGGCTCAACTCTTGAAAAAAAGTAAAGATAATTAGTTATTACGGCTAGAAATGTGAAAAAGTATATCCCCCAGCATAGCCTCATCTCGTGTCTTCTCTTAATGGCATAAGTTTCCATTCCAAGTCGGGCCTAACTCGAGCAAACAAGCGGTGAAACTTTCAGCGGCTGTTTCACTGTGATAAAGTCTATACGTTTGTTACCACAACTCTTATAAAGCAAAGTCGTTCGCACAAAAAGCAAGGACACACTTATTCAAGCAGTGAAGAAAATCAATAAAATGCCAGTTTAGGAATTGGATAGTAAAGAATTTTAGTAATGCAGTAAAAAAGATAGAAATGACTGTTTCTTGTGGGTGAAGGCCGTTGTGTACAAACTAACAAAAACGCCTGGCTGGAATAGAGGACACGTCATCTTAAAATAAATAACTCAATTACCTTCTATTTCCCTTGCGCCAATTTCTAAATGTTGTGTCCATATGCTGTGTTTTGTAACTTTTGTGCACCCTCCCTCTCTCTCTCTATAAGTTAATCAAAGTAATGCGAATGAGCTAAGTGCAAGCATTTCAATACATCTGAAGCTTTATTGCATTTATTAAGCCAACCTTAGGAGAGTGTCTTTTTAATTTGTCCAAATAAGCTGCTTTATCTAATTTTGGGAGGACACAGTCAAAGTAATGGGTGAAATAAACTAGGTTATAGCACACAATTACAAAGCCTCCCTTGCAACTTTTACATCTATGCTAATTGACAAATAGAATTTGGCAAGCTGATCAATATACCAACTGCTGTTTTTGGCAGGATTGTTTGATTTAGTTAATTACAAACATATTTCAGGACATTAATGAATAATAATATATTCTGTATTACTATAAAAATGATTTTATTAAAGACATAATTGAAATAAAATGCAAACAAAATGACATGCTACGCTTTAGTGACATATGTTTTATTTTACTTTTTTTCAATCTATGACCCATAAAGCTATACGGTCATTAGGGAAAAGCACTCCCAGTTTTAACTTTGTAATGTAAATGACCGGGATAATGTCAGTGTGGCCTGCTCAAAAGGGCGTTAAGCGGTTTTATACAAGGTTTTGTTCCTTCACTTTGTCTTGCAGATGTTATTTCTTCCCAAGCTCTGGAGCCATAAGACCAGGGCGATCCCAAAGCTTACATGAATGGAGCAAATACCTAACAAAACAACTATTATTCAGGGGAAATGCCAGAGATAGCGACGTTATAAGTGCAAACGAATACATAATAGACATTTTTCTTATTTTATTTCCAAGTCTTCAGTCTATGTGCGTTGAGTGCATGGCTGGTATAGTTAAAGGTGCAGTTTTCTCAGTGTCCAATAGGGATCAGTGCGCGTCGCGAAACTCTGGGTGACTGTACATTACACCAGCTTCATATTATGGCCCGGGGCAATACTTAAAAATACATACAAACAGCCATGAACATAAAAGGTAACAAAAAAAACATGAGACGATACACCGAGGATGGAAATGGGGATTTACAGCGAAGGATAATGACGAACAAGGCGTAACATCCTCATTCAATTAAAATGAATTAGCCATAGTGGTATAGTAGCAATGTAAAGGCGTTGCATAAAATTGTGTTTTGTCAAGTAGTGCAAGATTCTTCCAATAAAGATAAGCGGTTTGAACTTTGATTTGGGAGAAACTTGAAAACATTGAAATTCTAGTAATTTGCATCTTAAAATATTGGGCGGCATGACAATAAACACATTATTATGTTTTTACTTCTACACATTGAACGGTGTTGGATTCTATGGTGAAATTCAATTTAAGAAATACATATTAATCTGGATTTTTGGGCTGGCTTTATGAAAACGAACGAATCCAACTTTGAATGCATTCACTTTGACATAAACCAGTTCATTTAGTCCAATCTCTGAAATCAAGTAAATTATGATTTGCTGTATTATCTGTGAATACAAAAAAATCAACACTTAATATTCTGGCGTGTTGGAATTATGAAAGATAAGGTATTTTTGCTATAGTTTAAAACAGATCCTCATAATTTGCGTGGTGCTCCAAACCAAATGCTACTGAGAGCTGCTTGTCTATAAGACTCAAACACAAATGCACACGCTGATATTACGGTATTTTAGCATATGCATTAAAAACATACTATTTTAATGTTGTTAAAAACTATATCCAATTCTTTCTCACCTGTACCACTCGAGCCCGTTGTCGTAGTTGCGGTCAAAGAAGTGTGGCTCCGCTCCCACGGCTCTGATGTCCGGGTGAACGCGGAGAAACTCCAGCAAAGCCCGGGTGCCCCCTTTCTTCACCCCGATAATGATGGCCTGGGGCAGCTTTTTACTCCCAGCCCCGGAGGAGAAGCTGGACATGGACCCCAGACCCCCGAACCTCATGCGATCCGTGTCCAAAAGGTCCCTGGATGCTGTGCGCACGGGCGGCTCGTCATAGTCCGACTCGATGTCCTCCCAAGGCTGAGGTTTGGATAAAAGTCTGGACACAAACCCAGCATTATTACCTCCACCATGACCACCAGCACCACCAGCACCACCAGCAGCAGCAGCGGCGCCTGTCTCTGTCCTTCTCCCCGGGGATGCGCTGTCCTTGGTCCGGTAAGAGTCCACCACCAAACTTGGCACAGTGGAACAGTAGCCCACGCAGGAGTAGAGCATGTAAACCCAGATTAGAAACATGACGGAGAGTAAGAGAAGTTTCCTCTTTGCGGGGCCGGACCAGAAGGCATACACGCTGTGGCGACCCGGGCTATATTCCATAAATCTCCCCGTGTGGAGGACGCATTCCCCAGCCGCGCATGATGCCCTCAGTCCCGCTAGCACCTGGAGTCACAACGCTGGAAGCATGCTAGCTAGCTTCCATGCGAAAAAAATGAATAAAGTTAATTTAAATGAATGCCGTGTGAGTTAACAGCGTATATCCAGGAGTTGTTAAGCATAGTTGTGGCTTAGAAAGTGTCCATGGATGAGTATTGATGGCTGCATCGAGCTGCTCTCGGGTCTGACAGCGGAGAGGCAGTCGCGCCTGTCTTTATAGAGTGCGGGGCGGGAGACGGGCAGCGCGGGCGACCAATGAGAACGCGCTAAATTCGTTTGTTGATATAATTGAGCCAATAGGGGCGCAGGGAGGGCGGTCTGAGCCGTGGGAGCGTCACTATGGAGACAGAGTTTGGGAAAGTTTCCGAAGAGGATAATGAAGTGCAGTTTGATGAAGCGTGGTGCTACTGTTTTCTACAGATAACCATGAAACAAAAGTATGTATCGGATTTAATATATCCTATAGAATTTTGTTTATTGTATATATGCAAAAGAAGTAAAGAGAATGCTCTATCCGAATTTGAAAAACAAGTAAAGAAAATGCACTATAATACAATAAAAAAATGCAAAAATGATATTCACTATTCAAAATTAAAAATAAAACAAAAATGTGAGTAGATTTACAGTTGAGTTTTCAGGTATCAGTGTCGGGTAAGTTACTCTAAACTTACTAATTACTGGGATTAAACATAATAATTTGTACTACATTATATCTGTTTTAAAAATGTAACGGAGGAACTGTAATTTGAGATGAGTTGAGTTTCTTTGGTCCAGAACACAGATAGAGTTTGAATGACAACATTCTCAACTTTATTTCACAAATATACTCACACGGTTTTTTTTTTTTTTTATCTATAATGATTTTTGTCTCCTCAAATAACGGTGAGAAAGTGTATAGGCACTTGACTTTGTAACTTTGTAACTTGACTTTGTAACTTTGATTGTATCTAGTAATTTGTATATTACCAATGAAAACGTTTGTAATGAGCTATATGTTATACTGAAATATATTACAGTATTACACTTAGTTTCTCCCAACACTGACTTCAGTATCCGCTTTGTATTAGGACGCAATGATTCATGTGAATACAGACAGGGAATTTGGGGAAAAATAAGCTTATACGAATAATGTCTTAAATAATGTAAGTCTTTAACAAAAAAAACCTATTTTTTTCTGAGATGCCAGGTGTAAGTTGGAAAGAAGATAGGCTTGATTTTCCAATTAAGGGCCTCTTGTTGCAAAAGTCTTTTGTTTCTTCTAAAAACTGGACTTGCATTTACATTCAAGTAGCACCATTCAACAGGCTCAATGCACAATGGCCCATGCTTCAGTAAGAGACTGCGAAGCTTCTTTCTCAAAGGCCTCAAGTCTCTTCCTGATCTTTGTTATGATTGATCGCCTTAAGTCTTTAAATTAGGTTAAGAAGCACAGTCCATTTATTGAGTGTAACCAGTGATTTGAAAAGAATCTGAAATGATCCAGAACTTTGTGAAACTAGTTCAAAGAAAAGGTCTCTGGACAAAGGGGCTATAACTTTAATTCTAGAAACTACCGGGCGGCGGGACATGAGGATATTTTTCTCAAATGCCGACAACTCATATTTTTAGGGGTGTTTCTTAGAGTTAGAGAAGTGGCTAATACCACTATTGTCACAAACTAGATTTTTCTGAACTGAATTAAGGCTGACTGAAATAAACACATCAGGGGAGCCCTATGTACCTCAATACAAACCTCTGAATTTACAGTAGTTACTTTTTTAAGACGTTCAAACCACTGGGATAAGACTTAAACAAAGGTCATTTCCTACTGGACCATAAATCCGCACATTATCTGTTTTGTCATGTCCAGATCCTCGTCCCTCTCTCAGATGTCTCTAGCAGAGCGGATGTTGTAAACCATGTCCAGACGTCTGTCCGCGCCCTTGAGGTTGGCAAAGACACTTAATCCAGGTTGGAAGTGTTTTTATACTTTCTGCTCAACAGCTGTTTCAATCTGTCTCTTCACTCGATATGAAAGTCTCTATCCGGCCGGCGGAGACTTTACGAGGATGTCGGTCCTGCCCAGGTCCCTCGGCCTTGGGACAGATCCCACACAGCCCCTTTATGGATGTGCAGCGGAGAAGGGGCTCCTCACCATGTGCTGATGGAAACGTAACTCGACTCCAAGAATCAGGAACAAAAATGAGGACAACTGTTGACTGATGAGTACAAAGTCAGTTAACCAAACACATGGATGTGTGTGGTTAGCAAACAGAGCTAACATTGTGGAAAATAAAGAGGACACGAGAATTATAGATATTACATTTATTGTATAACGTTTCTCCTGTTGAAGCAGGAAGTGAGGATTTGGTAAATGCAAAACAAGCGGAATAAAACCAACATGTAAATGCATAAGGACACATCAGTGCAGCAGCTGGAAGCAAAGAGCAACAATATTCTCTGTCAAGTAATCGGAACAGTTCATGAAGTGTAGCTGCTCTGAAAATAGATCAATTCCTTTTGTCTAATAGATTATAGCACATAATGTACAATGTCCTCTCGTGTTGTGCATTTGAACAATGCAAAAGACAATTTAGAGTCACATAAGCTTGTACAGAGAGGGAGATCTCCATAAATAAATACAGAATATACACAGGGCACGCTGAAATCATTACAGGCAGTAATGATTCTCTTCTCTATAATCATCTGTTGGATCCACAACATTTGAGGCTCATTTCCTGAGCAGAACTGGTTTGAATTAAAGCCCTGCCGTCTGCCAGGTGTGTCCCAGGAGGTGCTGCGTCACACGGGGAGAGCCGCGGCCTCTGGAGCGGGGGCGTCGCGGTCTCTTCGCGGCTTCTTACACGTGAGCGCCAGCAGCAGCAGCATGGGCAGGTGCCACAGGCTGCAGAAGAACAGCTTGCGTGCACTGCTGCGGTCTCCTTGGCGATAGAAGCGGAAGGCCAGGAAGCTAATGTACAGGTTAATGGGCAGGGAGACCAGGGGGAAAGTCCACGTGGTCAGGTCCAGGACGGGGGCCACTGTCGACAGCCCGATGAGCCCCAGGCTGTGCCGTAGAGCCACCCGCCTGCACAGGGCCGGGTGGGTGACGGACATCATGCGGTAGCCCCCTCTGGAGTAGTCCTCGCGCAGGTTCCAGCTGAGGGCGTTGAAGTGGGGGAACTGCCAGCTGAACAAGAAGGCACCCAGCAACAAAGCACCTAGAGTTCAAAGAGAGCAATGATTAAAGAATCTCCTCTGTGTAATTACCGTTTCAGAGGCAGGCGGCAAACACGGCTTTTAACTTATGATCAAGTGTGTGCGGGACTTTGAAGTGATTTCATACATTTCCAGAAAAATAGTGCGTATGGTTATATTTCACATTTACTTAAGGCGGCAAAGCAAAGCAAGCGAAGCACATAGATTTTTTTTTGGCCAAGATAAATTAAGTAATGTTATATAACGGAGACACATTCACCAAATTGTGAGCTAGAATAAGATCCTACGACGCTGAATATAGAAAAACCTTGAGAATCCTTGAGGATGTAAATGTGGCTGTCTTTCTCATCTCGAGTAAATCAGATTCATGTGACAAAATTGTTATGTTGTTGATAATATTAATGATATAGTTGCTCTTCAAATGTGCACACCTCCTCCCCCCATTTCTGTCTTATGCCTTACGTTTTCTCCATCCAATTATTTATGACACATATTGTTAGTCAGTTGTTGCGTCCTTACAGCTCTATCCAGTAGCACTGCAAGCTGTGTTGGCCAGTTTTGTAATAAAATCCATTTGACCATTTCCCGGCTCTAAAAGCAGTTTGGTTCTTGATCTAGTTTTCAAATGCATGTACTTTTTTTTGCCTCCATCACATCTTTCGATCATCTCTTTCAGACAGAAAAGTGAAAAAGAGAGGACGACCCTCACTCGGCCAATCTGCTATCAACCCAAAGCGTCAAATAGTGACTCACTGGGATCTGTCTTACAAGTGTTCAATAGGGTTACATGCCTTCTAATAAGATGAAGAGTGCAAGTTTTGTTCTAATTTGTTCATAACATCATCATTTGTTCATTTTTAAGACTTGGGGAAAACAACATGGATTATTTATGAGAAAAGATGGATGTACACCAGCTTTAAGAAAATATTGTTTTTTTTGTTTTTAAGGTTTGTAATCGAAAGTAATTATCCAAGTAATATTGACATCATGCAACATTAATCTAAATAGGACACTTTTCCAGTTCCCAGCATGTGTCTCGAGGCCAAACCCTAAACTGTTATGTTGAAGACCTTTGTTCAGTCTAATTCATTTCTTCCTGATCTCTAAATCTCCTCAAAATGACTTTTCTTTATCCCGTGGCGTCATTTCAAAGCGCGCGGACCAGAAATTCATATGAAGGAGAGCTGATGCCGAACACATGAGGAGAACTGGCCCTCGCGGTTTTACGCCGGGGCTCCGGGTTTGCAATCGCATCATTAGCGGCGCCGACGTACCGGGCTCCAGGGCTCCAGTGGCCGCGGTCCAGCCCATGACCGGGGGGATGGCGCCCACCACGGCCCCCACCCAGGTGTTGATGATGCTGAGTCTCTTTAGCGGCGTGTAGCAGCAGGTGTACAGGAGGATGTTGAGGGCGCCCAGGAAGCCGGTGAGCGGGTTCACGGTCAGAGCGAGCAGGGCCACGCCGGAGACGCCACAAGCCGCGGCGAAGGAGACGGCGTGGAGCGGGCTGCGGAAAGGAGAGACAGAGAACCACGACGTTAGCGATGACGTGATCATTATTACAGTTACCAATTAATTTCCCGTTGGTGATAAATAATGTTCTCTGAATCAAAGAAGTTCGTTTTGTCTTGAGGTAAATATTTTTTTAAGATACAAAACCTTTATTTGTCCTTCAGTTTTTGTGGTTCTTTTGAAAGACAAGTACGATGCAGAACTGCAAGGCCATCTTCAGAAATGTAAAACTACGTTAACAAGGTCATACATCTCTCACTTGTCTTTCATAAGAACCACAAAAAAAAACAATAACAAAAGTATTTTCTGAAACTGAAATTGAGATCCTAAGACATTAAGACTCTGGTCGGTGTCTAGACTATTTTAAAGCTCAAATACATCACTTTTTTCCGTTAACATTATATTTTGTATGAGCAAACAGAAAGAGTCTGATGTGAGCAAACCAAACCACATGCTGACTTAATTTAAAAAAAAGTATTAATAACCTGTTGCATAGTTGACGCTTTGAGCTGAAAGCTGATTGGTGATTTCGGCTTTATACTTTTTTTGTAAATAGGTGACAAACGCCAAGAAAACAGGCATCAGACAGAAACTAGTTTCTTATGCTCAAAACAGTTTTCTATCACTAGTTATGTGATAAAAAAAACTTGTGTAAATGTCAATAGAGAACAGCGATATGGTCAAAAATCGATTCAAATGACTGTATTCCCTTTAAGAAGAGAATCTATAACCTGTAACATCATTTCTCAAAATATCCCATGATCATAATATAATAATAATAATAATAAATCAATTACATACAATATAACCCAGAAGACGAGCACTTTTCTCCCACATCTAAATCCTTTCACAACATCATTTGGAAACAAGATGAATCCCTCCATGAGTGCACTTCGCCCAGTGCTTTTGATGTCGTCTGACCATTTTAACACAAAACATGAAATACTTCGACAAATGCATTGAAAAGTGATTCCAGAGTTGGTTGGCCTCTTGCGCGCCGTGACGAAGCCGCGATGCTGATAAGACCGTGGCGGCGCTGTGTGTACGCGGGCCCAGGCCACACACACTGACAGAGCGGGGCGCGACCGGAGCTCAAACGGCGCCGGATCAGAAGCAACTCATCTGATAAAGATCAAAATGACGACGGCAGAACTGGATCTTTAAGCTGGATGAAGACTTCCTCCTCCTCCCCCGTGCTTCCTCATCTTTTATTGAAATTGGGGGAAATGGTCTGGTCTAAAGTCTGGTTCGCAGTTAAACGCTCTATAAATTAAAGAGACCTGATTAAAATCTTGACCAAAAGCAGCTTCAGAAAGCAAAGCGGCGGTGCGGTGTCGGGGGGAGGGCATTAATGTGATTAGTGGTGTTATGTCTGTTTTATGTAGCAGAGGTGGGGTCGCGCTGGCTGCCTGTGGAGATCAGGGAAGGGGAGGGGCAGGTCCAGATACAGTGTGGCCCGGGACCGAGGCACCGTGAGTGGGGAGAGGGGAGCACGGAGCGTCAGGTGGCGAGTGTCGACACAAAGAGGAAACAAGAGGCTTTGAGGCGACCACAACAAGGCCACGCGCTGGGGGCACGGGGGGGAAGTGAGGGTCCTTCAAGTTTAATAGTAACCAGAGACCAAAGTCGAGGGGAAACTGCTTCCTGTTCTTGAAGTATATCACGGCTCCGGGGCGATACGCGCTCACAAACTGATGTACTGCTTTCATTTCATTTGCAAGTTTCCAAGAATGGTTTACAGTACAGTAATAATAATAATACAATAGAGATATTAGAGCAACAGTGTGTGTGTCGGCATGGCGTCTGTATGATTGTGAAATAGAAAGATACCCTAGATATAGAAGTTTTATTCTCAAAAATTTGATGCAACCTTTTAGGCTCCACCTTTGTCCGTTTCACAAGAATTTTTTTTGAAGAGTTTTTGTGAGATATAGAACAAGAGGACCAAAGGGACAACATTTCCATAAAAAAAGCCAGGTTTGAAAAGATGCCAGCCTATACACTGTTAGCAAAAAAGCAAAAAAAAAAAAAAACACTTTTTGGCATAATGTGTAGATAATTTATGAATACAGAAGCGACGTCACAGATCCTAACCTAAAAATAATGTATACCTCTATTCAATTGTTGAAAAAAATCTTTTGGCTAACGATTCAATGATAATAAAAGGCAAAAAAGGAAAATGTTAACCCCTCTATAAATATACACAATATATAAATAATGTTGCTTGCTTGTAGAATAAAAGAAGAATCAATATTATTACAACGCCAGCTGATTTCTAAAAAAGACAATCCTATGTTTTATTATAGGTATGAAAGAACTCAAACTTAGGAGAGGAGGGCGACGCCTGTGAGGTGGCTCTGCTAAACATACATGGAACACTGTGTGAGCTCCATCACGCCACATATACAAAGCCTGGTGCTAAAGTTAACACAGTGAAAGTGCGAAGGCGATGTTCTGATGGATGTTTGACAGTGCCCCTGCGCGGTCCCATCTGCCGCACATCCCGCTCAAGACCGAGAGGGAGACGGGACAGGCCCAGAGCTGTGTCTAACATGGACCCAAACACCGGAGAATCTGTCTAAAAGGCGGAGAGACGACAGAATGTTTACAGAGTGGAAGGACGGCATCTCTCTGCGGCTCGGTAACATTTGGGGACGTTTTAAACACGGCGTCAGTGCTGGATTCTTCAAACCGGACCAGGCGGCTTTGGTTCAAGTCCTTCAGTTGTCAATGAGAGACTCTAAAGCGACTTTATTTACAGTTTATTTTATGAGGCCACACAGCGATTTGTCTAGATGAGTGTTCAGTTCAGCACGTGGCCTTCAGAAACATGCATTTGACACAGAACAGGCTCTTTGTTTTGAGTATTTTAAAAGGGCTCATTTCTACTGACAGTCTACAGAGTGTAAAAAATAAAACATAAATAGTAAAAAGGAAAAGAAAAAAAGACAAAAACAGAAATCAAAGGAAAATTTGGGAGTAAAAATATATATAAGTCCCGTTTGTCTAATGTCATTCATTAGCTTGAGTCTTGCTTTTGTTTCGTTTATATTTAAGAGTGATTTAAAAGGACTCATTTAAGTCTACTGGCAGTCTACAGAGTGTAAAAAAATAAAAATAAAATAACAATACAAAAAAAGACAAACAGAAATCAAAGGAAGATATGGGAGTAAAAGTATTGGTCAGCTAAGATTTGAAAGTACAAGTCTCGTTCGTCTAATGTCATCCATTAGCTTGGAGCAGGTTTTTTTCAAGGCCAAAAACAATACATATAATGAAGAGTCCAAAAGGCTGGTGGTAATTGATACAAGGAGGTGATTTTCATTTGCAGAAAACATGAACATGAAAAGCGTCAAAATATTGGTATCAAAAACAAATGCTGATAGATCTACAAAAGAAACACTTGGTCAACCATACTTACTATTAGAGTCATAGTTTAAAGCTACATTATGGGTCAGATTATTCAATAGGTCCGTACCTGATCTGTCCTCGCACCAGTGGGCGGTTCTTGGTGCGGTTCATGTTGGAGTCGAACGGGACCTCAAAGTACTGCGAAAGAGAAAAAACAAAAAAATTATTAAATCACCTTTTTCTTGACATAAATACCGGTCTTGCAAAAGGTCTGCTGGTAAAAAACACTTTTGGTGTGGCGTCTCTTGTTGTTGAACACATTGAGCTGCTCTTTTTGGGTACGAAATGTCCAAAAAAACACAACAAATCTTCTTCGAAATGTAACTCCTCCTCTTCAGAATTTGTAGTATTTTGTGTTGAAAGTCTGGAGTTTACAAATATCCCAGATGGCTGCACTCTGAACGTCTGCTGCCATCTAAACTAGTCATTCATTTGAACTAAGGAGAAGAAGAATACCGGTTCAGGTTTCTATATACAGACTGGGAGACAATAAATAATCAGTCGGCATCAGTGATTTGGTTGCACAATCACAACAGTCTTTTGTCATCGTCTCTGCTCTGGACTGGTTTGAAGCAGCCTCAAAAGGTTCATCAAATATAATGACTGGTATTAGTTATGAGTAAGAATGTAAAATGACCATGGAATGATCGAGTGACCAGAAAAACGTATTTCAAGTGTTGCTCCATTATTCTGCCCTTCATCAGAATTGTCAAAGATTCTCGCAGTGTCTTAAAGCTTGATTAACTACATTTTTGATTTTCATGATTCATTGTTTATTGTCCAGAAAGGTGTCAAATCAGACCACAATATGTGAAGAGTTCATTTGCAAAAACAGGTATCTCCTTTTGAAGATTTGTGAAAAAGTTGTATTCCTCAAAGCTACAATCTTCAACACGTTTTGTTATTGGCAGGAAATCTGAAAGAATTTGCTCAAGGGGAGGCGACACTATTAGTATGGCTCTAGAGTAGATCTGGCTTTTAACAAATGTGAAGCCCTTCAGATACTTTTCTAGTGGCACTCTTCTGTTTTTGCAAATTAATATTCATTTTGTCTTCATCTTAGTAGAAAACATCCCATCGTACGTGTAAAGAAAGGCCCTCTGAGTCACTATTTGACACTGATTGGAGAGTGGGTCTTCTCCCTTTTACACATTTCTCTCTGAAATCCTTCAATCTCTGAAGCTGATCAAAAGATGTGAGAGTCCAAAACATGTATATTCAAGTGTAAAACTGGTAATAGAACCAGACAGAGCGAGGAAGTAGTCGGATAGAATTTAGTACATAGTTCCATTTTTGTGGCTTGAAAGTTATGTCCCCCAGCCTTAAGTGAATTAAACCAGAACAGCATGGTCCTACATCAGATTGTTCCATCCTTGTTATTGGCTGGATTTTTGGAATTATTGACTAAAACAATGTTGATCAAAAACAGTCCAAAAGTTTTGTACCATCGGAAAGCCTATCCAAACTATGGCGTGATTGTGTCTTTTGAAAAATCAAGCTACACTTTTTCTCTTCCCATTCCATGTAATATTCAGAGGCCAATTCCCAAGATATGCAAACTTCACACGATCCAGCCCCAGTCTGGTTGTGTTCCTCAAAACATCTGGAGAGCTATGGTCAGGCTCAAACCTCTGAACCTATCGCTGCGGGTGAAGCACGCGGTTTTGGAGGTGGAAGGTGGCGGAGGTGGCCAGGGCCTGCTCTGCGTCTATATGCTATGTGAAAAACTACTTATCCCTCCCCGTTTTTATGATCTGGTCTGGAGGAGTCCGCTTCAAAGTGCTCCCACGAGATCGGCAATGTGTGACTAAAATACAAACACATGCGGTGCTAAAAAAGAGGCAGGAAACTGGCTAATCTACGGTGTTGGTGGGTGCCTCCTGTAAAGAGAGAGTCTAATGATAAAAACAGATAAAAGTGCCTCCATTGCGCTCCGTCGAAATCCATCTTCTCTGATATATGGTTCATAAAAATATCTAATAAGCACATCTAAAATCCACTTTTCTCCCCCTAAAATCTCCGCTGTCAGAATTTACTGCAGATGTGTCATTGGACGGCCAGAAAAATATTAAAAAGCCTTGGCAGAGGGGATTGCGTTTCATATTCAAGAGCTCCCACTTTACAGTAAATGTTCAGAATGCGCCGTGCAGACAAAAAACTAAACAAAGACACCACACGCCATATGACTGATTTAGGATTTTTCATCTACTGCGACGTATTACTATTAAGTTGAGTGTTGATTGTAGCCACTTTTGTTCTCTCGTGTTTGGCATCGTGAAGGGAACATCTGGATTTATACTCACTTTTAGTTTGCAAGGTTGAAAACTTTGACAAACGACAACAGCCTCAAGAGGGGCAAGGTTCAAATAGCCGTTAGCTTTACAGGCAGCGAAACATAAACCTAAGCTATTGGCGGAAAGTGGCACGATATACAGACCACGCAAGGGATTCTGCAACATTTTGGGGAAGTTTGTATAAAACTAAACTAATGGTTTAGAAAGGGAAAACTTTCTAAGAAGTACAGATGATGGGTGAGAAACCTTCCTTTGCTTTGACTAATCCCTGTACGACTGAGAGCTTACACAAACTAAACTAATGGTTATTGACGTCTAATGGAAACTATCTCAACGATTAATTGCAGTAAATTCTAAATTCTAGTTGCTGTAACTAATGATTCTTTAGTATATTATAAAAAACATGACTATACTTTGCTCAAGATTTATTTTTTATTTGTCAAACCAAGTGAATGGTTTGAAATTATTTTTCAGAACTCTGAGATGTAGAAATAGAAAAAGATCACTGCATATGTAAAAATTAGGCTAATTAGGAAACATAAAAGAGTATTTATTTATTTTATTTTTAACATTTTATCTGCTAATGAAAAAGGCAATTCCAGACTTGTCCAACTCAGCTTCAGGCGCAATGGGATTTGAAGAATTTGCATGTTTGTGTTTCATTTTTTTTAAACTCAGTTCTCGGAGTTTCCGCATGTTGCATTCTCCTATAGTGCACTTTGCATATCATAACATAAATCCCATTGTGGCGCTTCCCTCTGCCTTGCTAACAAAATCAGCCATTGAGATCATAAAGATAAGTTCACAGTGTCACCCAGCCAACTTTAGCTTCACCAATATATGCACGCTATACCTTGTTGTAAAGCTCTGGACCTTTGGATGGTCCCTGGACAATTTTGGCAAGCTTAGGTTGTCCTCCAACTAAAAGCTTTGGACACCCCTGAGTTATCTGAAAGTTGTGTAACCCAGTTCTGTGCTAGGTCAGCCCCAAACCAGCCATAAGGACCCAAGTTCTTCCAATCATGTTTTAAAGGGTTATAGTCGATGTGAGTTTATGGCGTGGCCTGTGGAGACCTGCAGCTGCGAGGACTGCGGAGGGACTCCAAGGCCGAGCGAGGTGTTAATTCTATTTCCTGGGTCAGGAAATGCGTCAAAGGTCAGGGGCCGCAGAAGTTAAGAGAGACACTTTGTAGCAGAGCCAGAGCCACAGGCCGCGGGCTCAGGGCCAAGCGCCGACCAGCACTGCACATAAAGGCTCCACTTTAGTTTCCAATAACATCATCGATTGTAAAGCAGTTGTTGTGAAAAGAGCTGCCTGTGCATTGTGGCAGCAGGACTTTGGTCTGAACTGAAACCACTGTTTGGACAAGTGTGCATGTGTGCGTGTACGTATGTGTGTGTATGTGTGTGTGTGTACATGAGCGAACGGGAAGGCTGTGGAACAACATTGCAACGAAACTGACAAAGTAAAAGTTTTCTCTATTTCCCAACCAGTAATCTGATCAGAGTCTGCGTTATAATTGTATTGATATTTAAATATAACAAATAATAGACATAAAGCACTCCAAGGCATGTCATTATTCTGTAGTATAGACTTCTTTTAAACCGGCTAACTTGGTCCTGAAAATGTAGCTCTTTGAAGGGGAAATATACATGCGCTATGCAATAAAAAGGGCCTTATAAAGTTTCAGGGCTCACACTGTTTGTCGGTTTCATATTCAATCTCTGAAAAGAATGTGATACAACGAAACAAAAAGGCCATTAGAAAAATAAATAAATAAATAATGCTATGTAAACAAAATGTCACCCCTTCTTTTGCAAATTCTTTCAAATTCACTGCCAATAACAAAACATTGGGGATTGTAGCTCAAGGAAAACAAATTTAAGTTTTTTTTTTTTCATAACTGAGAACTATGTTACAGCTAAAAATCTTGTTTTTTTAACAGAGAATATGAGTTATCTTCTCGGGGCGACAGTAGCTCATTTGGTAGAGCATTGGCCTTCAGGCCTGAAGGTCGTGGGTTCAATTCTCACCTCTGCACCTTCTCCACCGACTCCCACTGATGACTGCTGTCGTTGTGTCCTTGGGCAAGACACTTAACCCCACTTTGCCCAAATCCCCCACTGAAAGATCAAGGTTATGCTCACACTCAGAGAGCAGCCGTCCTCCTGTGGACTCACCACCTGCAGAGGGACAGTGAGGGGCTGGTGCTATGAGACTTGGGTGGCATCTCTGATTGCCACCCCCCTGACCCAGAAATGGATTAAAGGGTAGAAAATGGATGGATGGATGGATGAGTTATCCTCACAATCGTTCCAAATATTGCCTTTGAATCGGCAATAGGGAAACCTTGATGTAAAATAAAAAGTAGCTTGAGCAAATATATTGTTCTTGTTCAAATAATCACCAATTCATTAAGAAAGCATACATCATCGGGTTTCACTCTCAAACCTTATTTGGGGTAAAGCGGGTGCAAGACCAGTCAACAAGATTAAATTGTAGACTGTGTCAAGATACATTTCCTTTTAATTTTCTACTGTGGATAAACCTGTAGCCTGCAAGTTGAAGGGGAAGAGGACTTTGGTCTGAAATAAGCTGTTGTGTTTTGACATAACGCCAGCTTGTAAGGAATAATAAGGTCTTTGTCGGCGGTGTTTGTTATGTCAGTTTGTCCACTCTCTCCTGTTTGTTCTTCTGATCCTTTAGAGCCGCGACGGCACATCTGGTTCGCGTCAGTCACCTTTTCAGCTCAGCGTATTATTATTTACGCGCGGCACATCCACAGTGCTGCGGCGGTGGCTTTGGAATAATTGGGCCGTTAGTGTTTAAAGGTACTTGGGAAC